AATGATGATAATAATATAATTTACTTATTACCCGTTTCCTCATTCCGAAAACCATAGAAGTCATGATCCAGACACTCGAGCTGCTCAATTGCTTCAGTGACAGTCAAAGGGGGCATTTCAAAGTACTTTGTTCGCACAATCTGCAAAGTAATTCTAAAGATCAAGAGATGTTTACACCAATGTCTTAATGCTGCGAAACCTAAAATCTGTTTCATCGTGCATGGTAAATAATTACGTGTTGGAAATGGAAAACTCATCATATTGCATAAACCATCATATTGCCTTACTCAAGCTACTTATGAAATCAGCAATGATTTAGTTTCATGTCAAATTTTGGGTTCGCCAGATGTCGTTTCACGACAAAAATGGGTTTGCAACACCTCCACAGTATGACTAGCAAATAGCAATCATCCTAAAGACCATTTGCGAAAAAATAAAAATAAAAAAATTGGAAGAAGTTATTTACTATGGCATGAGCTAAAGAAAGCTATATGTTGAATTAGGTAATAGACAATGTTCATTTGACAATCAGAAGCACAAATTTGAAAAAGAAAAACTCAAGACTCAAGCACTAATTAATGAAAAATACTCTACACATTGCCATAAAAACACATAAAAATGAAATAAACTGCAAACAAACAATAACAAAGGCAAATAGTATAATACTCAAAGCAACACACAATAAGATAAGAAAAATAACCTCCTCAATTACAGTATCTTCTTCTTGTTCGTCCTCTTCATCATCATCTTCTTCAGGATCCTCCTCAATATCCTCGACAATTTCTAGTTCACTCGGGTCCTTCAATTTGAGCCTGTTAAAACCCTTCATATGACGGCCATGATCAGTGTCCTTCTCCTTTATCTTCCTCAATTTCCTCTTAATTATTGATGACACCAAATCTATACTGGCGTAAAGGGACTCTGCATCCTCCTCTGCCCGGATTACACCGTATTTTTTTGTAAACATTGTCACCTATAATTTTGCAAATCCCAGTTTTAGACAACGAACTATACATGTTAATTATGTTTCTAATTATAGGAAAACGTCAAAGAGCATTTTTATTCGACAATACTATATTTTCTGCAATTGAACATATTTTCGCACCTCACATCTTCTCAATTTGGGGCCTTTCCCAAATTCTCCACCGCGAGCAGATAACCTGACATCGACTTCTCTTACCAGGTGACTGTGCTTTTGAACTACTCTCGCCAATTTCTCCTCCACATGGCTTTTCACAGAGGGGGTCAGCTGAATGTATAGTCACAAAGAAATGTATTCATTGTGTATCATCAAATTGAAAAAAAAAAATGAAAAATCAGCACGTCAAGTTTCTACAAACGACATAATTTGCTCCGAAAACCTTAGGGTGTGATTGGATATAAAACTTAACAAGAAAAATTCGATCACAACACAAATTTAACTCAGCTCGAACTCTCCTCAATATTATCAATATAACTAAATAATAACAATCAATCATCTTCAAATTAGGCATATTTCCTATATAAACGATGTGGGACAACTCATAAGTGAATAATCTAATAAATATCAAAACAATTCCAAATTTATATCCAATCACTCTAATTTTTCCCAAACACAACCATGATAAGTCTCTTACTGCAGCAAAATCAAGAAACCCACTCGTCTTCATCAACTACATTTTCTTCACACATTTTTTTTTTTTTTTTACAGAAATACAAAATTTCATTGGGGAAAATTCGCAAACAGTTAAGGGGCATCACAGATCGAGCATGAAGAAGAAAAGGGTACCTCCAAATTCTTGCCTTGAAGGATTAATTTCACAGAGGAGAGAGGACCATCCCACGACATCCTGACCCCAAAAGTTCCATTAAGTCCGGTTTTAACCACCATTTTCTCATGGGTTTTGAGCCCTAGACCCAAAAAACTGGACTTTTGAGAAAAGGGATGAAGTTTGTTGTTCGAACACCCAAGTCTGGTTGCTAAACAAGAGGGTGAAGATGAAGATGAACAAGAAAAATGGAGCTGGTGATGAAAAATGCTCATTTCCATAGTTGGAGCTGCAAAGAGCGTAGCCATTTCTTACTTCCCCTTGGCCTAGTTAAGCTATAAACCTTTCTCTTTCTTTTTTTCGAGTTTTTACTGTTTTCCGGGGCTTGGGAGATGAATGTTCTTGAAGATTGACAGGGAAATTCTCACAAATCAATGGCGGACAGTGACACTGTAGTGACAATTTGTTTTCCTATTCTTATTTTTTTCCGAATTTTGGCTGTATATTATCGAGAATTGGATAAGGAGGACACGTGAGTACTTCAGTATTTTTCATTACTTATTTTATTATCCAACTTCCCATGGTTTGTTGTGAGGAGAAAAGTGAAATTGATCTTTTTTTTTTTAAAAATAAATTATTAGTATAGTGTATTGTTGTATAACAATAATGCTAAGAAGTCAATTGTTGGTTCCGTTACGAAGTCAACAACTAATGGGAAACTCCATGTGGGGTTGTCCCACATGGCTCCAATGTGGGACAACCCCACATGGAGTTGTCCTATTGGTTGTTGACTCCGTAACAGAGTCAACAATTGACTCCTTAGCATTCCTGTGTTGCATAAGATAAGTAAAAGGGTTGTATTGTTTCATTATAGTTGCTCTTCTTATTCCAGCACTTTATGTATTAACCCTAAGTATAAATAGGATAAACAGACCCAATTTTGTACGTAATTTTTCACTATCGAACACAACCCTTTCCTTCTTCTTCATTTCAGTGGAAATTCTTTCTTTCTGCTTTCATGAACTCATCATAAATAAATAAATAAATAAAAAGTTACACTCGCCATCTAAAATAAGTATTTGGATATATTATACATTTTTTTTTTAATTTTTATCTGAGTTAAACTCGTTAAAATTTGAATTCGACTTGTTCATATTAATAAGTGACCTAGAGTCGAGCTCTTTCGTGGGTTTATGACTTTATATTAGTAAGATCAGGTGAATAAAGACAAACTCGAGATCGAGTATCTGAAGTTTGAATTACTTGTTTACACTTTTAATTATGGGTTACTTGGTATATATATAAAAGTTAGTGGGAGTGAGTTTGCAAATAATAGTAGGATAGGTGATGCAGATAAGGCCTTAATTATTAGGATTGTTCTTCTTCTTCTTCTTCTTCTTCTTCTTCTTCTTCTTATTATTATTATTATTATTATTATTATTATTATTATTATTATTATTATTATTATTATTATTATTATTATTATTAGGTATCTTGGTGAATAAGTTAGGAATTAAATATTATTAGAGATCTTGTCTTGTTGGACAAGTTAGGAATAGGGTTTTGGAGTCTTATTTAAAGGGCTCATCATATATTGTTTTAGTCAGTTGATTTTGAATAAAAATATGAATTGATTGTGAGTTTTATCGAGAGAGTATCTCGTTTTACGTGTTTTACGAGAGAGTATCTCGTTTACTCGTTTATCCTTCCCACTCGTACGTTTTTCTCTACATCAATAGGACAAGATAATTAGAATATTAATTGTATTAATTATAATTAATTATTCAGGAAAATTAATTATTGTTAGTGTTATGAAGTTAGATTTATAAGATATATACAAAGTATAATAATAAGGCTCATCTATCAAATCCCAATACTTATGGCATATGGAGTATTCCTTTTAGCATATGAAAATCTAAACAGTAATCAAACACAACTTTTGGTTCATCTGTCGATGCTGATATGCGTACAATTTTGTTTGTGGAGTTTTTGAGGCTTAATTCATCGTCAAATTCACATGTCCTTTAATGGGCTTTTGGGCTAACTCTGGTACAAACACTTTCCTCGGCTATATTGTTTGTTTCTACTTTTATCATTTGTACCTGGTATGGGCCGATGAGCCCAAGGGCCTGCCATATTTGGGCTACCCAGTAGCTGCGGGAGTTGAAGCCCTTGGAGAAGGAAATCGAGGGGGAAAATTTTATAACTAACCAACCCACTTTAAGCAAAATATTTCTCGAGAAGGCCGTGTCCTACACATTTTAAAATGTACTCCATAGTTGGACACAATTAGGAAAAATGAAAAACATTAAAAAAAAATACAAAATTAAAAAAAAAAAACGTAAGGCAACAATTTTGAATTTAAAAAATAACTACTTACAACTAACAATCGTAAACAAAAAAAGAAATAAAAAACACAAACCATTCAGAAAAAAAAAATCTCGATTCATTCAGAAAAAGAATCCTGAAAAAAAAAAAAAAAAATTGGTATCAAAAAAGCAAAACAAAGAAGAAGGTCAAAATCGATAATGATAGGCAAACAAAAAAAAAATATGTTGCTTGGACCAGTGGTAACTAATGTTTTATTGGTTAATTTTTTATGTTTTTAAGTTAATCTAGTATTGTTGTGAAGTTAACTGATCGTATTTGTAATGTGACGGTGGCGTTACATTTTATTATTTATTTAATATTTATTTTTAGCAAATTGCAGTTCATATTGTTATTTTTGTTTGATCATATTTTTTTTTTTTT